CAAACCCGAAGCTCAGTGCCTCCCCTCTACCCTCCTCTCTCCCCCTCTCAAATCCTCCTCAGATCCGGAGTATTTGACCATGGATTTCGAAGCCAAACCCTCCCTTAAGGTAATCTCCTCCGTTCCCCTCGTTTTCATCCATAGGAATTGTCACATTTGCTCAAATCTTGCTACTTTGGGGAAACCCTAGTTTTGGCTTGGATTTGCAAATATTTGTTGAATGATGTTAAGTTTCTTTGCTAATTTGGGTTGGTTAGGCTTTCATAGTATGCTAGGGTTAGGGTTATGTGTGTTTGATGTTGGTGTTAGGGTTATGCTATGGTTAGGATTGTGGTTATTGTTAAGTGGGGGTTAGGGTTAACCAAGAATTATCGGTTTTGTAGGCATGGCTTCATCTGGTTCCATGACGAGGCCACCGTATGCTAACCAAGAAGACATGCCAAACAAGTGGGAGGGCGCATCTTTGGACAAGGTGAAGGAGAAAGATGCCAACATCCCGCCATGTTGGTGTGGAGATGTTTGCAAGGTGAAGGTATCCACCGACCGAAATAAATCATGGATGGAAGGGCGGAGATATTTTGTATGCCCGAACTATGCTTATGATCGTGCACTTCCAACTAACGCCTATGACCAACCATCGGTAAGCTCGAGAAGTAAAATGTTACTATCAAATGTGTGCCAACACTAACAAAAAATTTGTATGCAGTCACCGCCTCCTCTATGCAAGTACTTCACGTGGATAGATCTTGAAGTGCCAGAAGATGTCAAAAAGGACCAATACCAAGATTGTCTTAGGCGGCAACGGCGGTTCGAAGAATCGTTTCGAAGAGGCTTGGAGGAAGAGCGTCGTCAGAAGGAGAGGATGGAGCGGAAGAAACGAGAGGAGGAGAGGGCACGCCAAGCGAAACTTGCTCGTGAGGAGGAGAGGGTAAGAAAGCTTGCAAAGGCTCGCGAGGCGCAAGAGGAGGACTCGGCCCGTGACAAGAAGGGGAAATGGCCTCGCTCTACTCAGTAGGGACTTCGCTTCGGTGCACTCGTCGTGAACTTGTGAGGGCATGTGAGATGTTGGTGAACTATCTTTTAGGGCAAGATGCCATTTGTCATTTGTAATGAATGTGTCGTGAACCATGTCGTAGTAACATTTGAATTGTCTTAAGTTATGAACTCGTCGGCATAAAATTTTTTTTTGTTCAAATTGCTGTGATGATGCAGTCATTGTAAGTATTATGATGTTCCGGTGAAATGAATGTGTTGTCAACTCTGTTTTTGCAGTAAACAACCGTGCAGCGCCCAGAACAAAGGCGTTGCACTATTCTATGCAGCGTCGAACGGACGGGCATCACACTGTAACGTGCAGCGCCTTGCTCTGGGGCGCTGCACTATGACTTGGTAATTTTCATGGATCGTCAGTGCTCAAAGCCTTCTGTGGCCCTATGGGTAGCCATGGCCAGTGAAGCAGCGCCTATGAGACGGGCGCTGCACTGTGAGGTGCAGCGCCTAGGCGTTGGGCGCTGCATAGTATAGTGCAGCGCCTGACTGTCAGGCGCTGTAGTGCTGTTAACTACCAAACTGCAGAAACAGATTCCATTTTGGCAAATACAAATACTGAACAATTCAACTGAACAAAGACAACATCATTTAGGACAAATACTGAACAAAGACAACTAATAACTTGAACATCACATCATTTAGGACAATTCAACGTTACTACTAGTTCGCAAACACAAATACCACAATAGTAAGAGTTCACCAACATATAACATAACCCAACAAGTTCATCAACCTAACGAAATGGCTACAAGAGAGCACTTCCATAGTAACAAACACTAATGCCTTCCACGCGTGTTCCTGGTGCCACGCCTGCAGGCAATCTTTTTCTTCCTGGGTGGACGAGCCTCCTCTTCCTGCACTTCCTCCTCCGCCTCCGCCTTCGCCTCATGATCCAAGCTAGCCATCCGCGAGGTCCCTACGACCACCTTTGGGTTGCCTCTGTTGCCAAAGTCGTTGGGCGTGTACCGGCGTTTGGGCTGCCTAGGCTTGAACACATATGGGGACTGAAGTTGAGCGTCCGCCAAAGTCATGTCATCATCAAGCTCACCGCCCTATCACACAATCAAACAATATGGTGAAGACCGACGTCGTAATCAAGTGAGAATCACATCTAAAGGATTAGTCATACCTCTTGGGTGACCGCACCCTCATCATCCTGATAAGCATATGAGGAACTCACATCGTCCCTCTGATGGTGAGATGAGGGGTCTGATGGTGTACCAGACCTAGAGGCAGATGGTTCATCAAATTCGGGATCACGGCAACCGAGAAGATTCGATAACTGCCTTAACTTCCTGGCCTGACGCTGTAACATGAACAAGTGTGGAAGATATGAAACTCCGCAACATAGACTACCTCTCATAGTGAATGCGATTTGTACCTTGAGGAATGCTCATAGTGAACCATCATCATTGCCTTTTCCAACCGGTGTTTCCTCCAGAATAGACTGGCTCTCATCAGCTGCTTTCTTGATCTCGGTGCGCTGCAGATGAGAAAGAATGAACACGTTAGCCATTCAAACATGTGTAATACGGCCAACAGGAAAGTAAATTAGAAACACTTTATCACATAGTTAATCACCGGAACAGGAGGAACTCCGTGCCCTACCCTGACATCTCTATTGTACTTCCCCTTTGATTGATCCTCAAAGTTTACAGGTTCTTCAAGAATATCCTCATTATATGCCGGCGGGCATATCTCAACTCGAGTATTTTCAAGAAGCCATCTTATGTAGTTATCAAAAGCAAGTGGACTATGCTCACGAAGCTTGGCGCGTGCACTGCTACGAGCTTCCTCCACACAAAGCTGGAAGCGGGTAACATACGAAGCATGATGCTTGTCCCAGTCCTTTATCTTCCGCTGCCTTCTCCTGTCCAACCTGCATGGTACAAAACCAAACATTAGCAAAATCAAGGAGTGACGATGCTTAGTCAATATGGTTCATGCTCTCTTACCTATGAAGTGCTTTGCCCATATCCACCCATTCCGGCGGGTGAGGCTGGAACAGACCAAACTGACGACACACGCGATTTGGCAAATGAAATTCAACAACCCAGTTGCATATCAGTGGGCACCGCATACGCCAGAGATCCCTATCCCGCAAGCACATCAGGTTGATGGTAAACTCCGGGGTGTACCCAAGTCTGTCATCGGCGCCATATGGCTGCCATTCCACCTATGAAATAGGGCAACAATGCAAAATTGGTGAATTTTTTCCAGGCAAACATGAGAAATGACTGAAGTAATGACCTCGTTACCTGCTCAGGCGTAATCATGTCCAACTCGGCAACGTACTTTTGGTACATGAGATTGACATCGTTCATCATCTCGGAAACCACATCCCACTTGTAAGCCCAAGTGGGGCGCCGTAATTCGTCATCTTCATCTTCATACCAAGGATTAAACCTGACGCTCTTCGGGCGTCCAACAGGCAGACGCTCCCAGCTCCATACAGAAAGTAGAAGCATATTACCACCAATGCCTGCACTACCTGTGATCCTGCAACACACATCGTCCAGCTGCATATGAAAGAAAAACAATGTTAACTTGACAGCAAGCTTGCATTGCTAATGAAGAAATGAGTTGATCACAAAACAGACCAACTACCTGTCGGTACAAGTAGGCAAGAGTCGCTGAACCCCAGCTCCATTTGCTATCGAAGACGGTCAACGCCTTCAGCCACATGCATGGAGCGTTCTTGCCAGTGGAGTCAGGAAACAAAGTCCTCGACACCACATACCACATGTAGACACGAGCATGTGTCTGGATCACATCATCAGTGGCATCCGGAGGGCACGTCGCAAAGTGAGTTTGAATCCACGTGAAAGCAGCTCCGGCTGCTTTCCTTTCCTTCTTCTGCTTCTCTTCTCCCTCCTCTACATCAGCCTCAGCCTCGGTAGGAGCCATACCGATAAGAGCAATCATCTGCTCGCGCCGCCCATCAGAATCAGTGCTCATACAGAGAGGCATCCCGTCGATAGCAAGACCGGTGATCAACGAGACATCCTCGAGCATCACGGTCATCTCCCCAGTCCAAAGATGGAAACTATGCGTCTCCGGCCTCCACCGATCAGCAAGAGTGGACACCAGTGGAGCGTTTAGATTCGGCGTGGACCGGCTGACCAACTGAATCCACGGGAGTAGTCCTGCCCGCTTGATGTACGGTGTGTACCGCTCATCGTAAGGCATGGCAGGACCAGAGACCCCGTGATACCGAATCTTCAAAGGTTCAAACTTCTGCAAAAAACAAGTAATGACAAATCTTAGGGCATGTAAATTTCAACTTAAGGCAAAATATTTAGATTACTCGTTATTACCATCTCCTTCTCGCGCATCATGTAGGTCCGGTGTTTCGTGTCGTAGACATCGTCGAGAAGCCAAACCATCCTCACAAACTTCAAACAATAAACATATATGAGTTCATCTTCATCTCAAATATCGGTATACACTAAACATCTAATATGTGTTCAATTACAAGAATCTCAACATCTCCTTCTCACACAATGAATATGTCATATGTGTTCAAATAAACTCAATATCTAATATTTCAAATAAAATCAACATCTAATATATATCTAAAAAAACAGATCATATATCTCTACAAAACTCAACATCTCATTGTTATCTATATAAATAGGCATCTCATATATATATATATATATATATATATATATATATATATATATAAACAAAACAATCTAGGGTTTCACTAACAAGAACTATATATTGTGAACTAAGCAACAACACTACGGTACTACCACTATGACTACACATCCTAAATCAAGCAAATCAAGGGTTCCATCAAATCTTGGACAAATCTCTAAAATGGCAACAAATTTACGGAGGAAAAGAAAGGGAACGGAGGAGTTTACCTAGTAGGATGGATTGGAGATCGAATCCACGGATCAAATCTTCAGATCTGAGAGGGATGTGGGGGGATTCGATGGGGGTGCCGCCGCTGCTCTCTGTCCAGAGAGCAGAGAGGGAGAAGAACTGCCTGGCCGGGCTGGGCCGATGCGCTTTAACTCACAGTGCAACGCCCAAGAGCTAGGCGCTGCACATTACAAGTGTGGCGCCTAAGTCTGAAGCGCTACAGTGCTGTATGTGGGGCCGCACCTGGACCAGGCTGCCATGCTGGCAGGAGGTGCGACGCCCAAGAGAGAGGCGCTGCATAATAGTGTGTGTGGCCCAGCTGTCGGGCGCCACACGGAAGGGTCAGCAGAGTGAAATTTTTTCAAAACGAGGTCAGTTTGTGATTTGATTTGGCCCTCAGGTCAAATATGTGATTTCTGCCTGAGAGTGCAACCCGATCCATGATGGATCCAATGGAGAAACAACATATGCTACAGGTGCAGCGCCACCCTATGTTCTTTGCACCATACGCAACTCCAGTATGGCTGCACCCAATGCGCTCACCTCAAGCACCACCGTCTCCGAGCCCCACTCGACCGTGGCTACCATCCTATGATGCAGGTTTGACATCACCCCAGTGTTGCATGTCAGGCTTGGCGTGTGCACGGCGACAAGGAGCCTGTATCTCGCTAGGCAGCTGATTGTAGTCCGTTTTTAACTTGCGGCCCTCCATCTCCCCTTTATCACCGTTGTCATGGCACTACGAGGAGGGGCCAGCCCTGAAGGATGGACCAGTTCTCGGCGTCGCGTTCATCATCATCAAGCTCCCAGCAACCCAATGGAACTCGATGCAACTCCATGGATAAACAGACCATGATCTAACTCAAAGCATCGTTCTTGCTACCTCTCTCCCGATACCTATCACTCCCATCAAATGGATAGACCGGCGAGATAGCAAGCAGAAACGTGAGAAAAAAGAGCAACAAACCTACCATTATCACTAATTCTTTCAATGCTGGGATATTGACATGCAAAAAAGACGCTGGGGAGGCGGCGAGGGGACAATGTAAATATGTAGGAGGTAGCTGTACTTGAAAACTTCTGTAATGAAGTTGAGAGATTTGATGGCATGAAGAGAATGGATCACGTACAACATTAGGTGGGACAAATTATTCCGATTGTAGTTCAAAATATGAGTAGTTTGCAACTACAATTGCAAGTATCTTTAGTAGGTGTGATTCATTTCTTATAATCAATGAGCATTTCCTAAAACACACGAACACTTTATTCAGTTATGTATATAATTGTAAATATGTGAACACCTTTTTAATCAAATGAAATTTTGTAAATTACATAAACATTTTCTTAAAATACGTGAACATATTTTTAAATATATGTGTTTAGAAACAAAAGCATTTTTTATGCGTGAATATTTTAAATTATTTTATTATTAAATTATTTATATACAAATGAGTAAGTGATACGTCTTCAACGTATCTATAATTTTTGATTGTTTCATGCTTTTATATTATCTGTTTTGAATGTTTAATGGGCTTTAATGTACACTTTTATATTATTTTTGGGACTAACCTATTAATCGAAAGCCCAGTGCAAATAGCCGTTTTTTTGCCTATTTCAGTGTTTCACAGAAAAGAAATATCAAACGGAATACAAACGGAACGAAACCTTCGCGAGGATCTTTTTTGGAACAAACACATTCCAGGAGACTTGGAGTGGAGGTCAAGGAAGCAACGAGGCGGCCACGAGGTAGGGAGGCGCGCCCAGGGGGTAGGCGCGCCACCCACCCTCGTGGAACCCACGGAGCTCCACCGACCTACTTCTTTCGCCTATATATACTCTTGTACCCTGAAAACACCTAGGGGAGCCACGAAACCACTTTTCCACCGCCGCAACCTTCTATACCCGTGAGATCCGATCCGGGGGCCTTTTCCGGCGATCTGCCGGAGGGGGATTCGATCACGGAGGGCTTCTACATCAACACCATAGCCTCTCCGATGATGTATGAGTAGTTTACCACAGACCTTCGGGTCCATAGTTATTAGCTAGATGGCTTCACTACAAGAAACATGTTAATACATGACAGATCTTGTATGTCACATATCGGCAAAAAATAGTCATGTGTGTCCATCCTTGACGGATTTGAAATCCGTCATGTATATCGCGTCATAATTTTACATCGTGCATTCCATGACGGTTCTCAGCTGTCATGGATCTGCCTCAGGCCTGCCCAGCCCAAAATAAGCCCAAGCCTTCATGACAGAACAAACCGTCACCGATGTACATGTGCTGGAAGAAACATGGACCTAACGTGGTTTCTACGTGGATCTGACGTGGCAGCAAAGGTTTCTACGTGGATCTGACTGACAGTGGCGGCAAAATGGCCCACGTAGTATGCCGCCCAATTAGGGGTTTGGCACAATAATTTTGATCCAGTCCAACCCATTAGTTGTTTATTTTTTTTCTTCCTGCCCATTAGCCTACCTATTTTTTAGTCCAACCAATTAGCCCCTTTAGTGTAGTCACAACCCAATTTACAACCAGCCGAATTATATACATTCAGATAATATCATTTGTTCACATGATAATCCAGACTTCCAACAATCTAGTTTGATTTACAAAAAACAATGCTTAAAGCGAAAACATCATGTGCAGATCTAGAAAGCACTATAAGCATTGTTTAATTTCGAGTAACATGGCTTCCATGAGAAAATGTTCTACTCGCTGCTTTTTAATCCCCAACATTGCACCACCACTTCCAGGTGGCTAGTCGGACCCAAGAAACCTGCTAAAAAACTTCAGTCTCCAGTAACACGAACTGACAGCCAAACCTGCGTAGAATACATAACACATACAAAATTACAATAAGTAATAACAACCTGCTCCCAAATGAGTATAGAGAGTAATAATATTATTTGTTTTTAATGCAATCATCTGATGGACATGCTAATACCATATTAAGGTCCCATGAAAATATAGGCGTCGCATATACTGAAAGCAGATTAGCAATGAGCTAAAAAGATGTTCTATAAATGTGAGATTTTATTATCCAAGCATGGTAAGGTCAACGTCACTTTGAAATAAAGGACAGACGGGTCAATTCATATTCATCAAGTACAACAAAAAATCAAGTTTATATGCAAATGACAGGGCTTGTGTATGAAAAATTCAAAATGGATGATTCCATAAAATACAATGTAGTTCATAGTTAACAAAACCTGAAAATATTAATGCTGGAGG